GCGTAACTAATATAGTACTAACGCTATATATATCGCTTATTAATATTATATAATAAGACCTAGACTATATATTAATAGATAAGGAGAAGTAGAGAGCTAATTTAGAAAAGTTAGTTCTACGAAGTCTAGTACGAAAGATTAATATCTTCTAGTTAGAGTAATACGTAGTACGTAAAATCTTAAAGAAATACTAATAGAGAGTAAATATAGAGATAAGTATAGTATATAGAGTAACTTCGCTTACTAATATAAAGAAACTACTATCTAGTTCTATATTATCTATATATAATCTAAGACCGCGCTAGATAATTAGCTTAAAGACTCTACGGTCTCTACGACCTAACTCGAAGGGTAGTAAGATAACTAGCTCGAAGACTCTATCTAGCTCGAGAATCGATAAGAGAAGCGGAAAGACTCTATCTATAATCTCGAAAAGCGGAAAGACTCTATTTATAATTCCGAAAAGCGGAAAGACTCTATCTATAATCTCGAAATCTAAGGCGGTCGAAAAACCGATAAATACGACTATAGTACGAATCGCGTACTACTTAAGGAACGCTAATACTAACTTTATAAAGCTCGTAGAAAAAAACTTATTATAGCTCTATAGCTAAAGAGTAAATCGGACGATAAAGGTATATTTACTCTCGCTCTTTATATATTATCTATCGAAGAGAAAGTTATAATAAGAAACCTAATCTCTAGCTAAGCGAGTAATACGAGATTATCTAGAGATTTTAAAGTAGATATATAATAGATAGAAGTAATTCGTATATTTTCTTATATTAATTACTATAATAGAGCTAATAAGATAATAGTATTTTTACTATACGAAATTATATATTACTAACGTACTACTAATTCTATTATCTTAATAGTTCTCTTTATCTATTTAGTAAGAGAGATTATAGAGAACTTCTCTAATAATATTATCTATATCGAAGTAACTATAATAAAGACTCTTTAGATATCTACCGAGACTTTCTTAATATTATTATTTAAAGATTAGTATAAATTAGGACTTCTATTAATTAGTATAACTAACGTAAGATATAGATACTAATTTATATATTATTTATACGAAGCGTATTACTATCTAGAGTAAAGATATATAACTTATCTATCGTCTTAATTCTCGCTATACGATCGATTACTAGTAGCTATATTTCTACTCTAGTTAAAATCTAGTTAGTCGATATTCTAGTTAATATAGTAGACTACTTCTTTATTAGAGATTTTTCTAGATAGTTAAGTAAATCGTTATATAGTACGGAGATAATTATAAAGAAAGAGACTATAGTCGAAGATATACTATTCGCTATAGTTAATAGATTCGACGCGCCTAAGGAGTCTAGTTCGAGTTACTTACGTAGATACGGGATATTATATACTACGAGTAGCGTATACTTATCTTCTCTAAAGTTAAAGTATTTATAGTAGAGATTTAGTAGTTTAATTTTAATTACTAGAATTAAGTTAGTTTATAGAGATATTAGAGAGAGTATAGAAGACGTATATAGACTATAAGTAAGATTAGTTCATCTACTACTAGTAAAAAGAAATTATCTCTTAAGCTAATTCGTACTATATCTCGTTTATTTAAAATAAGTTATAGACTATAAGATCTTATAATTAACTACCTCTATTACGAGGAAATATATCTAAGGGAATTTAGTAGAGAGTTTAGTCTAGACTATTTATAATAATCTATATTAGTATTATTATCTAGTTTCTAATAATTTACTTCTTACGCTATTCTCTAGAATAGTTTTAATAATATTAGTATATTCTCTACTTCGAGAATCTTCTAAAATTAGTAGTAATCTTAGTAATACTATTATTAATATATTACGCTCGCGTCTCGTAGGCTATCGTCTACTTAGCTTTCTAGTACTTTAGCTAGAAGTCGACTTTAATTTAAGTTTAGTTAATTCTAATTAGAAACTTTATTCTCTTCTATCGAGAATCGAGATACGACTAGTTATTATAGTATATTCTCGATAATATCTTTTAGCTCGCTAATTCTTATAATAGCGGTTAATAGTTCTCTACTATCGTTAGTACTAAAGCGAGTTTACTTAATATTTAATTATATAGCGGTATCTATAAGACGAGAGATCTATTTACGTTTATTAACTAATCTCTTTAGTTTATAACTCGAAGAGTAGCCCTCTTCTTCGACTCGACTATATAAAGGCGGGCGGACTTACTTTTACGCGAAGCGCTCTAGATATACTAAATATTAGCGTTCTTAAATCTTAACTACTTTTATATCTAAGTTCGCCTTTATTTCTATATATACTATACGAGTCGTACTCTATTACTATTCTTAGAATATACTATTACGCCCTTCGTTCTAGCTATTTATCTCTTTTATCTTCTATACTACTATACTTAGTCGATCTTTAAACTTTACCGATCTTTATAGTATATTATACTTATAGCTAAGTCTTCTAGTAGTCTAAAGAGAACTAAGAGAAGATAGAAGAGTAATATTATAAGTTTAGATTTTACGTTTAAGATAGACTTTATATACTCTATACTAAGATAATAGTATTTATTATAAGTATATATTTAACGAGCCGCGAAGCCGATAGAATACGCTATTTATTATTACTCTTCTTAGTCTCTCTCTAGTTATTCTTAATTAAAGTCCCGTCTCTATTCGTTTCTTAATCGATCTTTACGTACTTTTAAACCTTTCGTATCTCTTCGAGTCTTCGAAGAATAGATTACTATAATAACTATTATATCGCGGATAATTACGATAAGAAGCCTAAGTATAAATATAGTATACGCTATTCTAAGAGGAGTATAACTATCGAGAAGATCTATAATTATACTATATCGACTCGATATCTTCTAGAATCTAGATATATTAAAAGTATAAGTATATAACTTATCTATTCTTATCTAATTATATAATGTACGTAGAATCGTAAGAGTCTAAGGCTAAGTAGCTACCTACCTCTATATAAATAGAAGGTTAAGCTATTATACGCTTCTTAATTATCTATCTATAGTATTTATAAAGTATTTAGGAGTACTTTATAAGATTAAGT